AATGCAAACAAGAAAGTTTTCTAGTTATCTATGTGAGGATATTGACAAATGTAAAAGAAAAATGTAATACCCTGAGTTTAAAAATATCACCAACCTTCCATATTTCTAGACTCAAGTATCACATAGACACGACCATTTTTTGAGCAATATACAATTTAAAGTGAGGTTTATATATCTTAAATGACCTCGTGATGAAAATAATTTTATTTCTACAATTAGTTACAATTTAATATATTTTCTTTAATAATAATTTAATAATTAAAGAGTTTATGCAGACAATTCTAGGTATGCATGTGATAATTAGCGCACATTATGTACTTATTTGTGCTTCTAAACTTGCTTATATATTGAACGAAGTTCTACCTAATTTAGTGTATTTATAATTAATTGTAGGTAAAATTCCAACTTGAAATCAATTGACGTGAAAGGGGCATTTTGGAGCTCAATTAGAGTTGATTTAAAGCAAATTGAATATTAAGTCCCTATTTAACGATCATTATTTTAAAATATTTTATTTTACACTCATTTTTAACCATACATTCATATAATAAAATATTATGAATATAAACCTAAAACTTTCTCACCTTTTAACGACATATTTTTTAAAAAAATCACTATTCGAAATTTTTGTTTTTGCCAAATAATGGCTATCAATCAGGGGCTAAGTGGAATGCATATGAATAATTAGAAGAAATAATAGAGCATTCCGAAGATATTCTTAAGTTTTGGGAGTTGATTTCAACGTTTAGAAAGTTTGAGGACTAAATTATAAACTTTCAAAACTTGCATCAGAACGACTTCAAACAACTGAGGAATGTGGAGACGAAATTGGAAAGATTCAAATATGAATGACCAAAATTGTACATAGGAAGGGACTCAAGTTGTACACGAGGAGATGTTGGGAACCAAAATGAACTAAGTGGTGAACTTATGCCTTTGCAATCTTATTGGAAGTTTAAACCTAAAATGTTATTTGATTTTATATAATATGTATACATAATTAAAATATTAACAGATGCAAAATTATCAATAAAAGTATATATTAATGAATTTATAAAGTAAAATAATCATTAATCCTATGTTTTGTAGGGATTCTTTCTTTTACTATATATATAATAGGATGCTATGTTAAGGTGATATATTAAAATTTATACTATATTGAACGAGCTCTATATATATCATATAAATCTATTCTTATAGTTTACTTTGAAGAAATTAAATTGCAACTAATCATAGAAAATTTAATAACTTTAAATAAGGAATACAATGAAATTTAGATTTCTATAATCCTTGTACCAAATACAGTGTGCTATTGCAATATGAAATGTGGCACATTACAATATTATGAATATTATCTAGAATTTTTCCACTTGTACAGTCCTTAATGAACTGTACATTTTACAGCCCACACTGATTAGCGTGGGCTCCACTGATCAGTGTGGGCTGTAAGATGTACAGTCCATTAAGGACTGTACAAGCAGCAGCCCTCTATTATCTAACATGTGATGCAATGAGAAGCAAGAAAATACGTTGAATATAAGACCCCTAACATTTTATTTATATTAAAGACCCCTAACATTTTAATTTTGTCACACTTATGTCTCTACCTATTTCTCATTGCATTCTATGTTCAATATTCTATTATTTAACACAGTTCCCCTAATGAAGGTTTTCATCTAAAAATTTGGTTAACGTCCCTTAAATAAGGGCAAATATTTAGTTCCCTTTTATGTTTGTTTGTTATTTATTTATTATCCTTTTTTTTTTTATTAAAATACGAATTAATCGTTTTATACCTCTTAAACAAAATTTGCAAATGGAAATTATCATTAGAGATAAAATGTGCTAACTAATTGAATGATAATAATAAGAATGCAACGAAAAAGTTGAAGATAAAACGAGGAATAAAGATCGAGGTCTTTCGTTGCAATTAAAATTTAGTGCAATAAACAAAAACTATAATGTGAATATAATCCTAATTAGAAAAAATCTATATATACTTTTTGAAATATTAAAGAGTGACATTATAAAGTGATCAGTAGCTTCCTTCTTTGAGAGTACAAACTTGAGAAAATTGGACATTTATATCAATCATGCTACATGTACATTCCCGTTTACACCGTGGCTTACAAAATTTACAATTGGCACTATCTTACATTATTTTCTGTACAAATGGCTTTACCCCATTTATATTCACGGAATGGAATGGAGAGATAAATTCTTACTCGAATTAATCAAATTACTCATATAATTAATTTCATATTTACGAATTTGAATTATTGATGAGACTAACTGTAAGTCGAAATAATGTGTAATTTGGTACGATGAAATTCATTAGAATAAATAATATATATAATTTGTATGCGAAACTGCCATTGGTTTGATCATAAAAAATTTCAGATATGGGTGTCTATCAAAATTGAATATGTATTTAATATTCAACTATAGTCAATTATGAAATTAGTTCGGTATAACACAAAATTAAATTGGATGTTTGTGCACCAATATTATTGGTGACTCATATCTAGATTTGACCCGTTACCATATTTTTCATAATATTTCCATGAAAGTTCAACAAATAAAAAATTGTGGCTGCATATATCAGTTGCCGCTTAACAAATGTCTTCAACATTAACTAAAAGTGATAATTTATAAAGACGTGTTGCAAACATCATACGTGAAACGTATAAAAAAATGACAAAGCATATTTTTCCGAAATTGATTAATGATTACTTATTTGGTAGTAAGCGTACTTTGAATGCATCATATTTGGATGCACAACATAATATATTTTTCTTCAACGAGTATAGAATCGTCAAGTGCGATGGTCAGTCACCTTGTATTGGTTTAATGATTTTTCAAACATCCAAAATTGTAATAAATTAGTTTGAGTTGTTGTTCGGGCTAAGTAACTGGGTTGAAAGTCTATACTTTAAGAAAATAGTTTTGACCAGTGATTTGAAGAGCCGAAAGAAACTATTGTAATTCTCGTGATAGATTATATTTGATTTAGTTCATTTTCAACATCAAACTATAGCCGCCGTAATAAAATAATTTGTGAAGTAAGACTATAGTTTCCCAAACAAATATAAACAACTATTTGTAGAATTATTGGTCTTGTCTCACCTAAAAGTGGTATGCTACATTCAATTGTATATCCGGCAATTAAATGTTTTTGCTTGAAAGGCTCTTATGTCTAATTGACATTTGCTTGCTATGTACTTTTTCTACTAGTTATATGATCATAATTTCATTTGGAAATTTTGATTATTCGACTTCTGCAACAATCGCACTTTTCAATTTTTATTTAATGTTTTTCTTTTATATTAGGCTGTAAATGTTTTAAGCAACAATCGCACTTTTCAATTTTGTAACCCTTGAATTTGTAATGGACAAAAATTGTCAATTTAACAATTAAAATATCATATTCAACACATCTAATACGTTATATGAAAAAAGTACATATAACTTTTCTATTTTATAGCCCCTCAACTTTGAATTTTTTTTCTTGCTTTTAACATAACTAGTGTGGTTAACGTGTGTTGCACGTTAGTCAATTGTTTAATGATCTTTGTATCTATTCGATTATCCATTTGATATTAAATGTATTGAACATTTCGTCACAAATGTATTCTCAACTAAATATAATCAAAGATTTAATGTTTTTCTTTTATATTAGGCTATAAATGTTTTAGGAGGTTAAATGAAGAGTTAATTACTCATAATTGGTGCATTGTAGCTTGTTAATTATTTGTTTAGATTCAAGTTGTTTAATACTTGGCACATTGTAGCTTGTTATTTGTTTAGATTTAAGTTGTTTGTGTTAGAAACCTAATTACATTAGCTTCAAATTGATAATTTTGATTGTTATTTTTGCGTCATTTTTAATCATATAATTTAAATACCAACTCTCAAAAACAACATATCTAATTGTCAAGAAGTCAGAGATTGAAAATACTGGAATTCCTATGTAGCTGTGCTGAAAAAATATTGTTAAGTCACGAAAAAAGCCATATAATATTGATTATAATCATGTATACAAAACGCATTTATATAATTTTTACTAAAAAATGAGTCATATTGTACTTGGGCAATGAAGATTTCCAACATCAATGAATTAATCTCATAAAAATTTTAAAATGGGAACATGTTTATAATTAAGAAATCAGAAACACACATAAAATTTACAATTGATGCCATCTTACATTATTTTTTACTAAAAACATTTTTCATCAAATTGCTCATCTATCGCTACATATGCATTGTAAGCCAGGGAGTAGCCATTTTCTGTACAAATGGCTTTACCCCATTTATATTCAGGGAATGGAATGGAGAGATGAATTTCTCGTTTAGATACGTAGTCTTTCTTAATTAATTTCATATTTACGAATTTGAATTATCGATGAGAC